TACTATAGGTGTCTTTTACTACACATACTTGACTTTATTTCCTGGGTGGGGAAGGGTCTGCTATTGTTGAGGAAATATGACTGAGGAATTAATGAGATGTGGCTTGTAAGGTCATTATTTTATTGTATCGCCCAATATTGCTATATTAAAGACAGAAACAGGAGTTTGCAGGGTTTTGCCCTGAAAGAATATGTGAAATCATTAGTTTGTATATTAAAGGCTGCCTTGCGTTGGGAGGGCTCTCAAAGCTCCTGTGTGGATGCCTTCCATGAGGCTTCTTGGTTATCTCAAGTCTGTGATGGCTCCCTGATCTTGAAAGACAAGACAGGTATATGCATGGCTCACAGGATGGGAGCCAGAACAATGAGATCCTTAGCCCAGAGACTCCCCCCTGTGGTTATGGGCAATTTAGAATGTAGAGTTGGGCTTCCTGCTTTCTCCTGACTGTCTGCCTCAAATCCACAATAACTAGATAAAAGAAATATAGAGCCACTATATCTCTTTGTTACCCCTCTGTTAATTGATAGCTATCTCTTAGAACTTAGAAGTTAGTCCTTGAAAGATTTTGTAACTGTTTGCTCACTTAGATAGTGTAGATTAGAAAATGTTAGAAGCCCTTTGAAAAAACTTTTAACCCAAACTGAAACTACCTGTTGATACATAAATCTGTTACCCATAGCAACCACACTACCTGTTACTATTTAAATCTATTACCCTGGCAACTGATAATTGATATCTGTGACTATAAAAACCTATGTGAATCTAACCTGGAGGCTGCACTACTGGCGGAGATGTAGTGTAGACTTGTGAGTACCCCTGCTTTATATAAACGTATAAAACTACACCTTCGTCTTTGTGTATTCTTTTATTCTTTCTATTTCCTATTAATTTCTTATCCTCTGTGGCAATGACTACCTAAGGGACCTGATTTCTCCCAGGGAGAAATAGCTGATCTCCTTGTGGCCTGTCATAAAATTGTATCAGAAATAGCTGATTGTATTGTATTGATTGAAATAGCTGATTGTATTGTATTGTATCAGAATTGTGTATATCAGAATTGTATCAGAAATAGCTGATCTCCTTGTGGCCTGATTCATAAAAATCAGTTTGGGTTTAAGAACTTCATGAATCCTTCACCCTGTAATAACAGTTGATAATAGTTGACAAACTTGGAGCTTGACCAAGGTAAAAAGTCCATATTATGAATATGGAGATCCTTTTCAAATATACAGAAAGAAATTTGGCACCAGAGGCCCTCAAGCTATGATTAGGTTGCATTATCTGAATGGTGGAAGTCATGGTTCTTCAAGCCTTTTAGCATTGCCCATAGATAAACATAAGTTGTTGGAGGTCTCATATCATGACAACGCTGAAGCTTTGCAATTTCTAGAAGCACTGAACTTCTACTAGGGTAGGGGACTTCATAAATCCTTTGTTCTGCAGTGTCTTTTTCTGCTAAGGACAATGATGCACTCAGGAGTACTGTAAACCCTGAGATAGTAAATAAATGAAACCAATCAGCAGGTATTATCGTGGTAACTCACTGCCAAATCTGCAAGTACGATGAAGTCATAACTATAAAAGGGTCCCCCCAAACTGCCAATGGTGGTAGATGATCAAAGACTATCTAAGGAAAAGAGAAAGTAATTGTTTGAATACAAACTTGGGTGATGGAGGGGATGAAGTCTTGATTGAACCGTCTGAATAGCTCCCCAAACAAGAGTCAGTCAGGAAAAAGAGGCGATGTGGATATTTGTGGTTCTCTTACAGACTTTAGGATTGCTGCTCAGTGGACGCATTGAACTGATTTAAGGTAAGAGTAATAGAGACATGAGAAAGGTCATGTTACGGAGATGGCTTCTTTTCTAAATTTATGAACCTACTTCTGCTAGTTTCAAACTATTTTTTCTGCAGTTACTCACTTCTCTCGGCTTTATACACGTGAAGAGAGTTAGGTTGCTCTGGATTAGGCTTTGTCTTGAGAGATTTAGGCTGGTTTGACTACCACATCACTAAAACTCTCCATATCAGCAAAAGGTTGTTCACTTTCTTATCCTTTGTATGTTCAATGGAGCAAAGAAATGAAAGTTATTTAATTTCCTTCAATAACTTTTTTTTTTAGCATAGAAAATTTTTAGCATAGAAAATCTTTTAGCATAGAAAATTAATCATTAAGCTAAGCTTTTGATTGTAAAGTGAGAGACCTAAACTTTTTTTTTCACTGAACATTCATATGCCACTGGAGGGTTATTCATTGCCTAATTTCAAAACTGTTTGTTTCAGAGAATAGGGTGGTTGAAGGAGAGGGAGAGAGATGGGGAAGTGTGGTGGAAGCAATCAGAACATGCACAATATTTTCATTACCTCTGCCATCATATACGAGTGCAGTTCTTGGTACCCCAATCAATTAAAAGTGTAACATTAAAAATCACTAATCACAGGTCACCATAGCAGATATAATAATAATGATAAAGTTTGAAATATTGTGAGAATTGCCAAAATGTAACACAGAGACACAAAGTAAGCCATGCTGTTGGAAAATGGTACAGATAGACTTATTCTACACAGAGTTGCCATTAACCTTCAATTTGTAAAAAAGATAGTATCTGTGAAGCACAATTAAAAAATGAAGTGCATTAAAACAAAGCATGCTGTAGTCAGATTTTGTTTTTTCATCTATTCAGTCACTCAATGTCTTTTGATTTGTAAGTTGAATCATTTACATATAAAGTAATTATTGATAAGAGGGAAATTACTATTGTCATTTTATTAATTATCTCTTCTGTAATGTTTTCTTCCTCCTATCCTGTCTTCCTGTCTTCCTTTCTGAGATATGATTTTTTTAAATCATGTGTGCTTTCTTCTCTGTTTATCTTTTTTGTTTCTACTGTAGGTTTTTCTTATTTTTTCTTTGTGTATTTGTTTTGATAATGAGACATATTTCAGTCCCCTAAGGCCACTTGGAAGTTTGTCTCCATATTTTTTGTTTTCAGAAGTTTGATTATAATGTACTAATTATGGGATTTCATTGTGCTTAAATTGCTTAAATTGTTGATTGAACCTCTGAGCTCTGTAGTCAATCTTTAAAAAACATTTGTGTAATTTTTGGCTGTTAGTCTTCCAGAATTTTTTTGCTTTATTTTTATTCTCTTCCTCTGAGACTTCTAATTCTCACATATTAAACTTCGTATGACTATTATCCCACTATTCTTTGCTTTTTTCTTTCATTTTTCCTCACTTATTTTCTCTGTACATCCTAGTACTGATCACCATATGAGTATACTTACTCTTCCTTTTGCAATCTTCAATGTCATTTAGCCAATTCAGTGAATATTTTTGTGATTATGGAAATTATCTGTTCTAGAATTTTTATTTGCCTCTCTTCTTAGTCTCTCTATCTCTTCACTTATCAGATCATATTTGCCTTTAATTATTTGAGAACATATTATTCCATTTTGCACATATTTTTGATAGCTACTCTAAAGACTTTGCAAAATATAATACTGTGATATCCCAGCATTAATTGATACTGGATGCTCCCCCTATTTTTTTCCCTCATAGATGGGTCACAATTTTCTCTTTGTCTGCAGGTCTGTAATTCCAAATTGTATACAGAACATTAACAATGTTTCTTATAGAGACCTCGGATTATTTCACAATATTTGAAGAGTTTGCCATTGTTGTTGTTGCTGTTGCTATTTTCATGACATTTCAAATGCTGGATTTTGAAATGTCACTCATACTTGCAGTCTTGGTTTTATGGTTTTCTATACTGGGTTTATGTAAATCCTAAGATGGTTCCTGTGCCCCTTTATTTTAGCAGGACTCAGATTCTTTCTTCTCTCAGAATCATGATGAGACTTGGTTTTAGACTTTGCTAGGAGGGGTCTAGAGTAGTCCTTAGTCTACTGCGTAACCATTATTGGCAAGCTGCAACCTCTCTGTCTAGAAAGGTTTCCCTGGTGCAAAAACTGTACCTCTATTCTGGCAACCTCCAATATTGCCCCAAGGTTTCATGCTGTGTCATCCCCTAAATGTGCAACCCAGGACTCAGCAAAAGAATGGGGCTTCCCTCTTTCTATTTCTTTTCTCTCTAGATTCCAGCTATTTAAATGCTATGAAAATTGATTTTCTCCCCCTTGTCCTAGTCTGACTGCTGTGCTCTGCTGTGACAAGTGCTCTCTGGCCTGCAGTCAGAAACTCGTCCCACTCAGAAAAAGTCGGGAAATTGTGGAGCTTCCTTCCTGAATTTGCCTCTTACAGGTATTTTATCCTTGTGTTGCCTATTGTTTGAAGCTGAAAACTGTCACTTCATGTTATTTTATTGAGTTATGTTGTGTTGCTTACAGCAGATATGCTGCTTTGCAATTATGAACAGCAGAAGATAATAATTATGTATTTTAAATATTGTTTTAGATATTTAATTTCTTTAGATGATACTGTCATTTAGAGTAGATTTCAGTCACTCTTCATTACTTTTTGCTCCATGTATATAGCTATTGAGTAACTTTTGTCTGGTATCCATACACTCAAAATGTGAGAATTTGAAGATATGCTCGTAATCCTAACAATGAGATGTCTCTACAAATCAAATGAATAGGGTAGGAGAATCCACAACAACTAGGAATGGGAAGCTTCTTACACATATTGGTAGATTTAGGCAAATCACCAACGGTGTCCCTCTCAGAGAGAACAATTACCCAGATATTCTCCTTCTGGGGGACATAACTGCCTAACAGAATTATTTCCTCTGGACCTACTGAACACATCCCAAGGGTACAGAGCTTATTCTTTCAAGCATGGGTTGTATAAACGCACACATGACCCTAATTGGAACCTTATTTAGGAAATCACAATGAGGGCCCCAGTGCTGATGAGGCTCTCTCTGTGCCCCACCCTGTGTGCCCTACTCTGTGGGCCTCCCAGTGCCCAAAGCACCTGCCTCAAGCAGCTCACTATTGAACTTGACAGAACATTGCTCGACACTTTTGGAGAACAAGGTCCTTTAAGTTTTTTTATTTTTTGCACTCAGAATGTCATAGATGCAAAGTTTTTAGAAAATACAGAAGAGTATAAGAAGAAAATTTTACTTTAGAAAGTAACCTAATCTACAGCTCAGCTATACAGGCTCTTAATATGCTAGGATATATCTTTTGAATCTATTACTTAAATGAAAGTCTTAACTTTTCCATGAATCACTATTATTGAAAACTTAATTGATTTGGAGGGGTTGTGTGTTTCAACTTGCAGATTTCAATTAAAATTCATTGATTCTTTCTTGTTTTTCTTGGTCTTGATGACCTGGAAGGAGAGAGAAGAAAGACACCGTGAGATCTCAGGTATTGAGACGAATCTCTGCTCATAATTCTCCCATCACCCACAACGTCTGTCCCTCCTATTGGCTACAGTGCTGTTCTCTTTTCTTCTCAAAGGTCACTGTTTCTCTCAGCCATCCCCTTTAATGCATTACTGAATTTTGAGTCCTCCTCTGGACATGATCTGAAGCCTGAATAGAGACATTTCTTCATGGGCACGTTAGAACAGAGCAGGGGGTCCATAAAGGGATCAAGACAGAACCACGGGAGAAAGGCAATAGCTTATTTGTCTAGGGCAGATTAAGGGCAGATCCAAGTCAGGCAGAATATTGGCAGGTGGGTATAATCAGTAAGAATTTTTCATGACGTAACTGCTGCTGCTTAAATTAGAATTTAGCTATTGTTGAATTGAGGAATTTGAGATGTGGAAAATTGAGGTTCATGTGTACTTCTATGTGCTTGATTATGTTAGTATTTCCAATTTAATACTTTGCATTTAAATTTAGCTTTGACTCGTGTTCTCAAGTCTCCCATTGTGAACCTTTGTGCTTCTTATGAATGTGGTTTTTGGTATGAGATATTTGGCGTAATGTCATGTAGAGGCAACTACATTTTTATTTTGTGGGCTAGAAATTTCTTTCCAGTAAAGGAGAGCACTTTTTATATAAGATGCAATTATACAAAGACACCAGGGTGCCCTTGGTTATTTCCATTTGGCATGAGGAGTGTTGAATGTCTTTCTCACTAAACATTTTTTTTGATGCTTGTTATACACATTTTCCATTTTCCTTTGACTCTTCTGTTCACTCATTTTCAGTATTCTTTACTTCTGGCCACTCCTAAATAGATAAATGTCTTTTCCACGCCTTCATTCTCATGTGTCTGATCTCATTCATCTTGCCTAAAAAATCTGTATTCTTGAGTCAGACAACCTAGACTGCAATCTCAGTTCTTCCACTAGCTGCTTGTGTCAATTAGGGCAAATTCTTACACTTTACGAGGATTAGTGTCTATCTAGCAGAAGGGAATAATAACTGTACCTTCATCATTGTCTCTTGTATGGATCAGTTGAGCTGAGGTACTTACGGTACTTAGAATATTTCCTAACATACAGTGAGTACTCAGTTTTCTGTTAGTATAAATGTGCACGCTATTATATTACTTTACAATTAGATAATATCATACAAATCTATAAATTAAACATGCATCCATGCATCTCTAAACTGACAAATACATACATGTCCAGTGCAAAATCACTTTTTTATTCTAGATCTGTATATTCAGATCTTCATATCCCCAGACTTATGAAAGGGTATCTAGAATTCCTTCTGTCCAAAACAGAAGATGTTTTCAATCCCTTGATTATGTTCTTCTCGGGCACTCTCAATGTTAGTGGAGCATCACATTTTATCCTTGATATCCTTGGATCGTCCATGAATGTTCCTTGAATCTTTTGTTTCTCACCATCATCACATAATCAGTTACAAAGTCATGAATATCTATCTTCAAAAGAATTATTTTCCCAATTAACTCATCCTTGTTTGTTTGTATTTCCTCTTCTTAGATTTCTGAAATAGTCTTCTGTGGTATCCTGGTTAATTAGCTGCCCCAATTTTGTAAAAGTTCTGACTTATAACATCTTCAGATTTTGGTGTTGTAGATACTTTCACCATGGCTGATTTCAAACTACCAAATGTTTAACAAACGGTTCATACAATTCCTAAATATTTAACAATAAAATCTACTTCATAGGGATATGAGTGAACCCCAGCACACTACTTCTAATTGAGATCTCTGCCCACAAGCCTAATCTTTCTTTGATACAATCATATACTTACCGGAATACTTTTTGCTAAAATGTCAAGGTTATCAGGCATTCTTCTGCATACAATTTTTTCATGTATTTTAACAATGAGGTTTCCATTAATTTATTTCTGACAAAGGCTACACTTTCTGGCTCTTTTTAAATCTTTGGACCTCACTGTCCCACAGTCTTCTACATTTACTTAATTTCAATTGTAGAGAACTCATAAGGCTGTTTTAGTCTCTTGGAATTTTTATGTGTTGTTTCCTTTGCCTAAGATTTCCTCAATGTCTTCAGCTTATTAAAAAGAAATAGTTCCTACTGCAAATCAATTTCTCATGCTCTCATGCTCATCTCAGGTTATGAGATAAGTAAATATATGCATTGTCTCAAATAACTTTTAAGCCAACCATATAACGTGGAGACTTCCAGTACTTTAGAAGAGCAATTAAAATATTACTTTACTGCCAGACAACTAGTGAGTGGCAAAGCCAGAATTCAAATCAAGTCTGTTTTATTCAAAGCCCTAGTTCTTGATTGCTGTGTTGACTTATTTTCCTGATGCACTGGTTTATACAAATTTTAAATCAATTAGCACAAGTATCATAGCCTTTCTATAGCTATTGGAATGCCATGTCTTCAGAATCTTTTTTAAAATCCTCCAGTCACAAATGAGCACAAGGGCATTGTTTTGGTTCTTCTTCTATACGCACCATGTGAGGAATCTGGTGTTCCCAAAGCCTAAATGAAATTATTTGCCTCATTGGCAAAATAATATTACTCTATCCATTCTCACCTTGATGAAACTGTGAATTCCACACACCAATCTCCGCTTATAGTCAATTATCCTCATTTGAAAGCAGTAGAGTTGAAGTTTATCTCCTTCTTCACACTTGATATTGTACCATTTTCCATTCCCCACTACCTCAATGCTTCCTGTATTATCTTGTATTTCATAGATTGTGATCTTCCTCTTCACTGTTTTCTGCAAAAGGAAATTAGCATCCAGCTTCTGAGAATACTGTTAGCAAGTGCCATACATATGAGAGAAAGCCTCATGACAAAATTAATACCATACGAATCACAATAATGGAAGGTACAAATATACATGCAGGTTGGTCTAGGTCATGTCAGAGCACCCTTATTTTATTGTCTTGCTTTTTAAAAGCTTTTCCTGCTCTAGGTATTTTTTGGCTTGCAATTGTAGAACAATGAATATCTCCCTATTTTTCTCCTGCTCCAACCTTCAGGTCATCTGAGATTATACGAAGCACCTGGATGCAGAGGAATCAAAAATTTTTTGTTGTACTTCTTGGCTACTGGTCCTATAAAGAAACAAAGGAACATCTGCCACAATTATTCATTGACTAGGTTGTGGGGAATTTTATAGGAAAGAATTTCTATAACTCATTCATTCTTCTTCCACCTCCCTCATTATTCATTCTTCCCTAATAACTTGTCCCACTGACCTGACTCTCTTTATTCACCCTGTATAGTGCCTCCCACACCTGCGCTATCACTCATCAATTCTATAATTACATTTATAAGCAAGATCTTTTAATGAGAGTGTAAGAAAGAATGACGGTAAAATGGGCTATCTTAGCAGACATGTATATAGGGTTATGAAAAAATCAATCATACGAAATGTAAGTTATGTTCATAGCAGTTTGTAATTTTTTTGTGGGGAGGGAGAGATTGAATATGTCATCCTAACAAGGGCCTTGAATTTGGACGTGAACATATCAGTAAAAGTCTATGCTTTTTAATTATTATCTTTATAAATGATGGGATTAGATTACCTAAACTTCTATGTATCATGGAATTCAATATTTCTCAGTTCTTCAATACTATCTTCATAAATAAATGAATAAATAAATAAGATAGAGAGCACAAATGTTTAGATCATATGGATACCTATTGGATGTATTTGCATTTAGGACAATGACAGTCAATTCATTTATTACTCCAAAAACATGTCGCAACCAGAATTCCACCTTGTATAGCAATATATCATTCAAGATCAATTTATTAAAATTCACAGTAAAATTATGTGAGTAAAATTATTTGGAGAGAGTTCAAATATTAGAAATTATTAGCATGCACCTATCGATTTATAGACCCTATATTGGTCTAGCTCATTACAACTGAGAACAGATAATCCTAATTGCCAACATTTCTTACTAATCAAAGCCCTTGCATGTCTTTTGGAGTAAGATGGTTAATGGATAATCTTGTTCTATTTCCTATTGCATGGGCAAACTTCCTGACTGTTGCTAGTCACCATAAAATCTCAGGTTTCAGTATTTAATCTGTAAGCAGAATCTGGGAAATTAAAACATTTGATTCCAGGTACTGGTGAAGAAATGAAAACACCAACATTAAGAGATTACCTTTCGTAATGTAAACAACCCATACACGATTATTCCAGATGCTTGTTGGAGAAGATAATCAATTTTGGGAGTTTTGTTTGCTTGTCTGAGGAGGCTGTTTGGGACCTCCAACTTTGGAGCAAGCCCAACTTCAGACACGGATGATGCCTCATTTATCTCCAGGATTCCATTACATTCCATGTAATCAGATATGGTAATGATCTTCAGTTTTACGAATTTGTCTTTCAAGTCGATGTCGAAAACCTTCACTTGGAAGGTTTGGAAAAACTGAGCCTTACTGACCACTGTAGCATGAAACATTTTGTTTTTCCCTTTGTCAGGGGACTCATATTCAAATGGCTGTGTTGCTTTCAGTACCATCACTGTCATTTGGCCTTTTTGGAGAACATTTCCCCTGGCAGCCACCTGACGCTGTGCTTGAGTGTTCTGATTCTGTGTTGGAAAGACACAGGAAAATAAAATTACTAGCTTGAGCAGGGAATAAAAAATCACTTTCCTGTAAGAGAAACCTCAATCACAACATTGGGCCCAACAACTGTCATAGTTATTTGGAGTTGAGGCTAGGAGGCTAGAGAGAAACTATTTCTCAGAAATGAAAGGCTGGTGAGCTGGTAGAGTTTAGCTAGTGAAAGTACAAGGCTTAACAACCTCAGAAGGTAGAACACCTTCATTGATGCAGAATAGTTTTCCCGAGGCAAAACACAATATTGTGCAAGAACAACATACAGTAGTGGATGATGAAAATGCTGTCATGAGTTGATTTGAAAGAAAGACTAGAATATAATAATAAATCCAAATATAACCTCTACCCACATGACCAAAAGCAATCAAAAAACTGTAAAAACAACTGGGATAGCATTGAAAATGGAGAATGGTGCTCACCACAAGCCTCAAATGATTTACAATTATCATTAGTGTACCCTTTGCCATTTTGAAAGTCCAACCATGTCCACAACTGTGTATACACAGCTTTTCATGACGGCTGGAATAATAGCAAAATAGAGACAACAAGTTTTTGGCTTTTTTTTTTATCTTTAATTTTTTTTTTCTCCACAGTGGACTGGTCTATCTGAGTTACAGCAGAATACTTTCTTTCTTTCTTTTTTTTTTTTTAATTTTAAAGAGATTTATTCTGAGCCAAATTTGAGGACCATGACCTGGAGCCACTGCCCCCAAGAGGCCTTGGGCAAGTGGACTCATTGTGGCTAGGTTACAGTTTGGTTTTTATACATTTTAGAGACAGGGGTTATAGGTAAAGCCATCAGGATACTTTCATGCAAAGAAAGTTGCCTGATTTGTAATAAGAAGTGTGGGGAGCAAAGACAGGAAGCATGAATTCACATGAACTAGTACAAGCAGCCAAGCTATCTATCTCCACAGAACAGAAGTGCTTAGAGTGGTCTGTCCTGATGTGTCACACACAACAATCACCTGTGGGTGACTGGACTTTACTTGGATGTGGCTTCTCAACAACGTGAACAATTTGCCATGACACGGGAAATACTATTCCCAAAGCAAATCAGTATCAAAAAGAGTTGCACGTTAGAGTAACAATAGTAACAGCAGAGTGCACTGTTAATCTGCTGAGGGAAAGAAACAGAAAGAGTATACCTGAGTCGAGGAAGCATTGGATAGACCTGATGATGCTATCTGGGCAGGTAAGGGATGGCCCGTTGCTGCAGGTGTGCTGGGTCTTAGAGGAAAGAGAGGCTGACTCTGCTCTTGGGATGCCTTATTCCTTTTGGCTTCAGTGCTTTCTTGGATTGTCACTTTTCTTTTCTGAAAGTAATTTAATCTTCCTGTTAAGGAGGTTCAGTATCAAAAGAAGCAGAGGATGTTTTCATCACTGTAGAGAACATCTTATTTATATTGTATATGATTCCCTTGGAAATTACAGGATATTCCAACCTACCACTTGAAGTTATGGCCAGTGAGTAATAATAGGTATAAATTGTTGCATTAAAAAAGAGATGAAAGATTTTAACAGACATGTTGTTATTTAAACTCTTCAAATTATCTCTGTGGTATGTTGGGAAGAGCGCTACATTTAGAAGTTAAAAGATCTAGATTTGCATACGCATGGATAAGATGTATTTCAAATCTGAGTATTAGATTTGAGAGTATTTCAGAGTATTAGGGGGGTAAAAATGTTTAGGTTTCATATACTGCCTTTGCCCTGCCCGAGTCATAACTAAAGCATGTCCATCCCCCAGACAGTGCGCACTGCACTCATTAGGTGTGAATATACCCATCCCCTCCTCCCCCACCCACCTGCCTGACACCTGATGAATGTTACTTCCATATGTTTACATAAGTGTTGATCAAGTAATACTAATTTGATGGTGAGTACATGTGGTGCTTGTTTTTCCATTCATGTGATGCTTGTTTTTCCATTCATGTGATACTTCACTTAGTAGAATGGGCTCCAGCTCCATCTAGGATAATGTAAGAAGTACCAGATCACCATTGTATTTTGTGTCTGATTAGAACTCCATGGTATACATATGCCACATTTTATTAATCCACTCTTGTAGTGGTGGGCACTTGGTTTGCTTCCACATCTTTGCAATTGTGAGTTGTGCTGCTATAAACATTCTAGTTCAGATGACTTTTTTATAGCATGTCTTTTTTTCCTTTGGGTAGATGCCCAATAATGTGATTGCCTGATCAAATGGTAGTTCCACTTGTAGCTCTTTGAGGTATCTCCATACTACTTTCCATAGAGGTTGTACTAGCTTGCAGTCCCACCAGCAGTGTATGAGTGCTCTTATCTCTGTACATCCACACTAACATTTGTTGTTTGAGGACTTTTTGATAAAAGCTATTCTCACCGGAGTTAAGTGATATCTCATTGTGGTTTTATTTGCATATTCTTGATGAGTAGAGATGTTGAGCATTTTTTGATATGTTTGCTGGCCCTTCGTCTATCTGTCTCTTTTTGAAAAGTTTCTGTTCATGTCCTTTGCTCACTTTTCAACAGGATTGTTTGATTTTTTTCTTGCTGATTTTCCTGACTCTAATTATCAGCCCTTTATCAGATATGTAGCATGTGAATATTTTGTCCCATTCTGTAGGTTGTCTATTTGCTCTCCTGATAGTTTCCTTGGCTGTGCAGAAGATTTTTAATTTGATCAGGTTCCATGTATTTATTTTTGTTGTTGCTGTGATTGCCTTTGGGGTCTTCTTCATAAATTCTTTCCCTAGGCCAATATCCATAAGAGTTTTTCCAACATTTTCTTCTAGAAACTTAGTTTCATGCCTTAGGTTTAAATTTGTTATCCATCTTGTGTTGATTTTTGTCCTATTTTTATAATGGGGATGGTGACATATGTATGTTACCAATTTTTATTACATGTTTTACAAAGCCTACCTCTTTGCCTAGCACAAAGATGACCCATAATTACTCAATTACGTAATTATAAGCTGTGCTGGAAGATTAATGAAGAACCAAGTGCCATAGCAAAGTTTCTTATGTGGACCTTCAATCCTGCTCCTCTTCACCAAGCTTACCTGAGGCACAGGGGTCTTGTCTGCTCCTTCAGATCTCAGAGCATTACTTGTGGTGGGTGCAGGCGTAGCAGGACCCACTTCTTCCTGATTCCTCTTTTTCACTAGAGTTCTTCCTTTTACTTTGATTTTCACAACCACCGAAGAAAGAAAGAAAAAAGGCACAGTAAACCCAGAGCTCTTGGTCTAAGACAGCTGAAGTCATCTCAATACTATTTCATCTCAGCGACTGCGGAGGGCTCAGGCGTGCTTTAGTCCACCTCCACTGCACCAGCCCAGCCTGGCCTCAAGGTGAGCAGCAGTCACAGCACAAGCACAGACACTGTCTCACGCTCCTCAGTGTTTCCTGTACTCCTCCCCTGTGCACTGAGAACTTTCTTCCCATCCTCTGAACTCCATGGATCAGTCAAACCCTGTCCCAGTCCTGTTCTCGTATCATTTCCTTTTGAAACTCTAAAGCTTTCATGATGCTCACAGGCTGTTCGTTTTCTGTGGAAGATCTGTTCCAATTACAGAAATAAGTGAAACAAAATATGATTTGAATTGCGATGTGACAAAGCAATCATAATGGCTTTGGAATTAATGAAAAGTTTAGCTCAATGATTTGATAAGCGGGAATGTTCTACACATAATCATAACAGTTTCCTTCATTAATTGGTTATATATAAATGTTTTTAAAATAAACCACAAATTTTTACATTGTTTTGTTACTTTCCAACACTTCTAATGTACTGGGAACCTCAGCTTCTCATCAACTCATTCTGTCTTTTATTCCTATACCCTACAAGGAGAAGGAACTCCAAATACAGTCTCCAAAAACATCCATCTTGTATGTAAAAAACAGAATGCCCTAAATTGTCAAATGGTTGGCCTTTGAGATGCCAACATTGTCCTGGCTACTGAGTCATAAATTGAGAAAGAGAAGTATCAACTCTGTTCAAAGTGGGGTTCTACTCAAGACTGGGGAGATTCAGGGTAGAGTGCTTGCTCATGTGTGGGATTTTCTCTTTTACCTTTTAAAATCTCTCTCCGAAGGCTGTCAATAAGGCCTTTATGTGATTTTATATCTTGGACCAAATCTATAACATTGCCCACAAAGGCAGCGCTTGGGAACTTTTCTTGATTCAGAACAGAAAGAATTCTGTTACATTCATCTTCCATTTTTTTCGTCAGGTTTAAGTCACTGTCCACTAAGAACATAATTACTGAAAACTGATAATCATTCATGGCTTCTGAATCTTTTGGCAAAATAATTTTATTGTATTCACTCCTGATTGTTCAAGTTATAGCTCTACCTACAAGAGAAAAATGTCAGACAATGTTGCACATTTATACAGACAATTTTAAAAATGAGCCCATGTGAGTGAGTGGCCCCATGGCAAATTGTTGTCCTTGGATATGCATGAGAGAGACTAAATTACCAGATGTGTCACTAAGAAAAATGGATTAAATCCTGATGTATTAAGAAATTCAAAGAAGTTCTTCCCTTTTAATGTTGACAGTTGAATTAGGTCAAAGGTGGGTATGACGGAAGAATGTTTGGAAACAGCTGATTGCACATTTAGAGTATGGGCTTTGTGATGGCAATATCCCTCCTTCCTCTTTCCATCCCTTATTAGACTGGAGCCCATCCCCCAATGCCTGCCTCTTGGTTTCTGACTCTTCCCACAACCACTGTGAATGAAGTGGCCTATATGTAAATGGGCTGCAGCCTCCCACCTTACATGAATAACCTTCTGTCATAGCACTATAGCTCCACACTGTGGTACCAACTCTGGTACACTTGGCTCTTCCTTAATCAGCTCTAATTAGCATCCTGTCTCTCAAGGGCTTGGGCTTGGAGCTTGTTCTGTATCTTACCTGTCCATGTCACTGTTGGTTTGCTGGACTTCTATATGCTCTCATGAAGAATTGTGACATTTATTTTTTGGCTTTGATTTTATTACAGTCAATTACTTTCCTCTTGCTAGTCTTACTTTTACTAAATAGCTCTTTTCAGTCAACCAGGTAGGTTTTTAAATTTTTTTAAATAAATGCATGGCTTTATCTGTCTTGAAATCCTTCAATAAGTTTCCATTTTCTTTGGTAAAAATTCCTGCTCATTTCCATGACTTGGAGAGCCTTGAATAAACTGTTATTTTTTTTCTGTTAGTTTTGTATGTATTATAATTTATGCTCTAGGAGCATACAGCGCCTTTCTTTTCTTTCTTTTTTTTTTGAGACAGAGTCTCACTTTGTTGCCCAGGCTAGACTGAGTGCTTGGCATCAGCCTAGCTCACAGCAACCTCAGACTCCTGGGCTCAAGTAATCCTCCTTCCTCAGCTTCCCCGAGTAGCTGGGACTACAGGCATGCGCACTATGCCGCTAATATTTCTATATATATTAGTCGGCCAATTAATTCTTTCTATTTATAGTAGAGACGGGGTCTCGCTCTTGCGCTGGTTTCGAACTCCTGACCTCGAGCGATCCTCCCGCCTCAGCCTCCCAGAGTGCTAGGATTACAGGCGTGAGCCACAGCACCCGGCCAGCACCTTTCCTTTTTAAGTTCTTGTTCCTGTCAATTCTGTTTCTGCTGTGTGGAAAATGATTCCCACTTTTCCTCTTCTGGTTATTTCCCTACAGCCTTCAATGCTCAAGTGAGGATTGAGGTCCTGGAAGCTATTGTGGTCCTCAGTTTCACTTATTTGGGCATCTTTAACACCTAGTGTACTTCCTTGATGGTCCTCAGTGCATGGTATGAATTCCAAGTTTCTATTTAAATTTATGAGTTCCTTTAGTTTGGGAACCACATGTTTGTACAACTTTTACATAATTAGGGTGTTCAAATTCTTAGGACTGTGAATTGCTCCTTTTTCAGAGAATGAGAGCATTCCCAGATTGATAAGGCACATCTTATTAAGAAAAAATCCACACAAGGACACCTTGTGAATTTGTATATTAAAAATTGAAGTATATTTTTAAAAAGTAAAAACACTGAAAACTTCTGAAAATACTGAGTAGAACACTTACAAACATTAAAGAATCTTATTGAATAGTCTGTAGCCAGTCAAGAGAGTAATTTTTATATAGTACTGGTCAAAAAGCTTATGCCTGAAATTTCAAAACCTAAGAAATTTAATAGAGAAAAGTTTTTTGTGGGTTGGGGGCTTGCAATGTTGGGAAGGCATAGGAGTTAGCAGGGAAGGGCAGCAATGACATATTTTTGCAAATTATGAAGATGATTTGAAACGATATGTGCTATTTTTAATCCCCATTATTTATCCTACTTTAGTGAGAGTATACATACTCTCATGTATACTTGTAATGCTGTATATAGAGTATATTCATGAAACAGCTTTTCCAAAGTGCCCAAACAGTGAATTCCAAAACATAACTTGTCCCAAGGCTTCCAGGTGAAAAGCTGTAAACCACAGTATTCAAACAAAAATATTTTTCAAACTAAAATGCTGTACCTGGTCAAAATGTTATTTGAACTTTATGGTATAAAAGAACCATTCCCTTACTTACTGAGATGCCATAATCAATATTGCAGGCAAGGAAGTTTCAGATCCTTGTTTCTTCATGGAAACACCAAATAAACAACAATATGTCCACCAAGGTTACTTACTCTAGAAGTGGGTTAAGGAATGGCAGCAAAAAATTAAATACCAAACCAAGAAAAGCCCTATTCCAAAGGGTAGAAATTTCCTAGGTGTTTTTGCTTATTCTTATCTCACCCCCTGCCTGGTGTGGTGTCTTCAGAAGGAAGCTGCCTATCCCTTGTTCTTCCCTTGGAATAGAAGGAAAAGAATGGAACTGCTTGCCACATTCTGGCTTGTCAGGTATCTGCCTGAATGACTAGTTTCTGTATCCCTTTACTTGGAGCACTGATGGAAATGGTGCCATGTTTGGAATGTCAAGTCTGAGGCTGAAAAACACCGTGGTGGAGGAGGCAGCTTGTGAGAGCTGCAGGGATCTGCTACCCCATGGACATCAGGGCATAAGAGATTGTGAATATAGGGACACAATAGAATATCTAGGGTCTCAGAAAAAGCAGGGTGAGACTATTAGGAAAATTAAGACATAAAAGTAGTGTGTGCATGAAAGAATTTTAAGAAAAGCACCCATGTAAGCTGGGGATAGACAAATATTCATAAATATTAACACCTGAGAGGATGTTTAGACTTCAAACTGAGCTGAATACTGAAGTATAGTGAAAATCCTCTCCTGCAAGAAACTTCTCCATAAAGACTGAGAGAAGTGGCTTTTTTCTTTTTTCTAACAAATGTCCAATTTTCAACAGATGTCCACAAGGCACACAAAGGAACAGGTTAACATGGTCCATTTAAAAGAACAAAATAAATCTCCAGAAACTTTACCTAAAGAAGTACAGACCTTACACTTACTTGAAAAGACTTTACAACTACTGTCTTAAATATACACAATGAACTAAAGGAGAACATGGACAGGCAACTAAATAAAATTTTAAAAAATTATGATTATCAACAAAAAGATTGAAACTATATATACACACACACTCACACACAAACAGAAATCCTAGAGCTGAAAAACACATTATCTAAATTGAAAAATTCACTATTTACTAGAGGGGCTCTTCAGCACACACAGACATGCAGAAAACTCAGTGAGCTTGAAGACAGGCCATATGGAATTATTGAGGTTGAGGAACAAAAAGACAAAAATATGATGGAAAGTGAATAGAACCCAAGGGTCTTACAGGACAACATCAAGTAGGCATATATATATTATGTGAGTCCCAAACAGGGGTGAGAAAGAAAAAAAAAGACAGAGAGATTATTTGAAGAAATAATGGCTGAAAAATCCCCAATGTGACAAAAGACCTAGACGTACAGATATAAGAAGCTAAATGAGCTCCAAGTATGATAAACTCAGAAGAGCTCACACCATGACACATTACTACCAAACTTTCAAAACCAAAGACAAAGGAAAAAAACTTCAATAGCAACAAGAGAAAAACAAGTCATTATATACAACTATACAGGAAATCCTCAGTAAGATTATGACCAGATTTGTCAACAGAAACTTTTCAGGCCATAAGGTAGTGGGATGATATATTTAAAGTACTGAAAGAAAAAAAAAATCTGTCAATCAATAATTCTACCACTAGGAAACCTGTTAGTCATAAATGAAAACAATTAGGAAATTCTCAGATAAATATAAAGTATTCATTATCACTAGACTTGCCTTACAAGAATTGCTAAAGAGAGCACTTCAAGCTGAAGCACAAGAATATTTGACAGTAACTTAAACTTATATAAAAATATACATTTTCCACTAAAGATAAATATATGGACAGATATAAAAACTTGACTTTTGCAATTTCAATATATAAGCACTTTTTCTTATTTTATATGATTTAAAATATAAATCCAAAAAATCATTAATCTATGTTAATGAGTACATTATACATAAGGATGCAATTTGTGACATCAATGACATAAAATGTGTGTTGGGGATCTGTAAAAAAGTAAATATTTTGAGTAAATATTTTCTATATAAATAAGTTAAGTTGATATCAGTTGAAAATAGGCTGCAGTAACTTCAGGGTGTCAATCCCCATGGAAATCATAAAGAAAATATCTATAGAATATATACAAAAGGAAATAGAAGGGAATCAAAATATGTAACTACAAAAAAGTCAACACAAGGAAAGCAGTAATGGAGGAAATGAGGGGCAAAATAGCTACAAAACATACAAAAAAGAAATAACAAAATGGCAATGGTAACTTCTTCCTTAACAGTGATTAGTTCAAATGTAAATAGTTTAAATTTACCAAATAAGAAGCATATATTGTACAATAAATTTAAAACATAATCTAAATATATACTGACTACAAAAGACTCACTTTATATATCTAAGGACATAACGAGGTGGAAAGTGAAAGAATGGAAAAGATATTCCATGCAAATGGTAATCAAAAAAGCAGAAGTTGATATATTAGTATCAGACAAAATAAAGTTTAAGTAAAAAACTGTTGACATTAGCATTATATTATGATTAAAGGGTCAATTCATCTAGAAGATATAACAAAAATAACCATAGATTCTAAATTATGAATCAAACACTAATCGAAATGAAAGGAGAAATAGCTTCAAAATAATAGTAGAAAACTTTAATATCCCACTTTCAATAGTTGATAGAACAAACTGACAGAAGAACAATAAAGAAAGAAGATCTTGAAAAACATTAGATCTAACAGACATATCCAGGACACTGAAGCCAACAATAGAATATACATTTTTCATAAGAACATATGAAAAATTGTTCAGTGTGTACCATATATTAGGAAACAAAACAAGTGTTAATAGGTTTCAAGTTTGAAATCATACAAAATATCTTTTTTGATTGCAGTGGAACGAAACTAGAAATCATTAGTAGAAGGAAAACTGGAAAATCCATGACCATGTGAATATAAACAACACATTCTTAAGCAATCAAAGTATTAAAAGAGAATCACAAGGCAAATTCGAAAATATGTTTAGAGAAATTAAATGAAAACACAGCATGCCATTTTACTGAACACAGAGAAAAGATTGCTAAGAGGGAAATTTATATATGTGAACACATTAAAAAAGAGGATGGATCTCAAATCAACAACTTAAGTTTACAACTTAAGGAAATGGAAAAACTAGAACTAACTAAACTCAAAGGTATCAAAAAAGTAAAATATAAAGATTAGAGATAAACACAATGGAGATTAGAAAAACAATAGAGAAAATCATGAAAATAAGAGCTGACTCTTTGAAAAGATGAATGATACTGATAGTACATTAGCTAGAATGGCTGAGAAGAAAAAAGAGGAGACTTATATATTAAAGACACAAATTAAAAAGGGAATATTACAACAGATTTTACAGAAATAAGAAAAGATTATAAGAGAACACTATGATTAATTGCATGCCAATAAGTTTAATAATCTAGATGAGATACATAAATTCCTAGAAACACACAACCACCAATTTTGGATAATGAAGAAATAGGAAATCTGAACAGGCACATGACTAGCAATGAGGCTGATTCAGAAATAAAAAGCCTCTCAATAAAGTCCAGGCTGGATGGTTTTGCTGGTGGAGTCTACCAAACATTTAAAATAGAATTAAAGCCAATCTTCATCAAACTTTTTCAAACAAATGAAAAGAAGGAAATACTTTCAAGCTCATTTAATGAGCTAGCATTACCCTAATAAAAAAAAGGCCAGACAGAATTACTAGAAGAAATGAAAAGTACTAATATCCTTGATGCATATTATGCAAAAATTTTTGACAACATACTAGCAAACATAATTCAATAGCATATTAAATAGATTTATACACCGTGACCCAGTGGGTTTATTTTCAAGATGCAAAAATGATTTATCATATGAAAATTGATTGAGATACAACACATTAACACAATGAAAGAAAAAAAAAACCTGACCATCTCAATTGATGCTAAAAAATTGACAAAATTCAACATAATTTTTTAATAAAAACAATAGGGTACGAGAAAACTACTTCAACCTAATAAATCACATATACAAAATACCCACAGCTACTACTATTCTCACCGACAAAAGGCAGAAAGCATTTCTGTTCCTGAAAGATCAGGAAAATGACAAGGATGCTTGTTTTCTTCCCTTCTATTTGAGAGAGAACTGGAAGTCCAAGCCACAATTATGCAAGAAAAAGAGATGAGAGACATTTACATAAGAAAGGAAGAAGTAAAATAACCTCTCTTCACAGGTGATATGATCTTATATGTGAAAATCCCCAAAGATTACATAAAAAACTTAGAGTTAATAAACAAATTCAGCCTAGAAGAAGTATACACAATCAACACACATGCAAATCAGTTGTGTTTTCATACAGTGACAATAAACAATCCAAAAAGGAAATTAAGAATGCAATTCCATTTACAATAGTTTCAAAAATAGTAAAATACTTAGGAATAAACTTAGCAAATGAGTCAAATGATTTGTCACTGAAATTACATAACATTAAGAAATAATTAAAGAAAACACACACACATGGAAAGATGTGTGTGTTCATGGACAGAAAGACTTGATATTTTAAGGTGCTGATACCAATAGGCTCTACACATGCAATGCAATTGGCATCAAAATTTCAACAGTGTTTTCTTTAAATAAATACAAAAATTCATGTTAAAATTCATGTGGAATTTCAAAGGACTCCAAATAGTCACACAATCTTGAAAAAGAAGAGCAAATATGGAGATTACAGACTTCTTGACTTCAAAGCTTATTACAAAACTCCAGTAATCAAAACAGTGTGGTAATAGCATAAAGACAGAAATACAAATAAATGGAATAGAATAGAGAACATAGATACAAACCCACAAATATATGGTCAAATGACTTTTGACATGGGTATCAAAATCATTTAATCAGGAAAGGATAGTCTTCAAAAATGGTGTTGGGTAATAGGATATTCACATACAAAAGAATGAAGTTGGACCCTTACCTACATCATATACAAAAGTTAACTTAGAGCAAATCAATGATCTAAGAAGTAAAACTATATGACCCTCAGAAGAAAACCTAAGGAAAAGGCTTCATGACCTTGGATTTGGCAATTGGTTCTTAAATATGACATGAGCAGCACTGGCTACAAAAGAATAAAATAGAAAAATTAAACTACATCAAAATTTTGAATTTCTCTGCATCAAAGTACACAATCAACAAAGTAAAAATGGTACCTACATGATGAGAGAAAATATTCACAAGTCATATATCTGATAAGGGCTTAATAACCAAAATATATAGAGAACTCCTACAATTCAGCAACAACAACAAAACCCAAATAATCAGATTAAAAATGTGACAGCAGTACAAGTGTCCATTAATGGATGAGTGTGTAAACAAAACGTGGTTTGTAGATGTAGTGGATTATTATTATACCCTAGGAAGAAAGGAAATTCTGACATATGGTGCATTGCAACATGAATCATCCTTGAAGATATTATGTTCAGTGAAATAAACCGGTCAAAAAAGATAAATGCTGTATGATTAAACTTATATGAAGTGCCTGGAGTATTCAAATTCATAGAGACAGAAAGTAGACTGATGTTTGCCAAGGTCTAAGGGGAAGGGAAATGGGGAAATTGCTGGCTAATGGGTAGAGTTTCCTTTTTGAAGATGAAAAAGCATTCTTGAGATTGGTTGCACAATATGAATGCATTTAATACTATGGAACTGTACACTTAAAATGACTAAGATGATAACTTTTATGTTAGATGCATCTGACCATGGTTAAAACAAAATAAAACAAATCTTATATTCAGAGCTCCAGAAGTTTTGCAATACAAAGACCCACAGCTTACTGGGAAGAGCTATTCATAGGAAAAGAATGAAATCTAAGAAATGTTGAAGGACAAAAGTGATGAAAGAGTGAACAGGTACCTTAATTTGGGTCTCTCTGTCTTAAAAGTAAGCACAGCCAGAATCAAAGAGAACAAAACAGGAAGTATGTGAACATACTGATAAAATTAGAGTTCTAGTTTGGGGGACCAGAGCACATGAGAGTTTGTTAAAGGATTTGACTTTAAGGAGAATATAACTAAAAAAAAAAATTTAGGAAACTTAATAAGAATGAAGAAGCAGGAAACAGAATAAATTTTACAAATTTAAACCAAGTAAGATGAAATAATCAAATTAAAATATGACGGCTGTCTGGAAAGTGTCCAGCCATTGTTAATATAATTTTTCATATTACATGGCTCAATACTTTTGGGACAGCCCTTCACATGTACATTTTCAGAATGTACATAAATGAACTAAACTCATTGACTAAGTAGTAAAAATTTTCAATTTGGATTAAAAATAAATCCATTTATATGTTGTTATCAAAATACAAATAAAGCATTAGGTCAGTTAAGTTTAAAAAAAATTGAAGAAATTTATATTCTTCAAACCCTATTTTAAAAAAAAAGCTTTCTTAGATATAATACTGTAGCTGAAAATAGACTTCCAGTAAATAATTATCAGTACAGAGTTTCACTGCATAATGGTAAATTTTTGAACCCCTAAGAAGATACAATTCAAATTACGTATTTGTATTTTATATATATTTATATATATATATAATCCATTACTTTACTGTATATTGTAACAGAAAAATTTCCTTTCTTTTTATTTGTAAAAGACACAGATATCATATATGCTCATATATGTATACTGTTTGTTAAAATATATGGTGGAAATCAAAGGAACTACAATGAGAAATTGAAAAAAAAATCACTTGAATATTTCACCTCTCTATTACTGAAAGGATGAGGTAAAAAAAATAGCTAAGATTTAGATTTAGAAGATTTGTCCAACATAATTAACAAGCTCAATTAAGAAATGTGTCTTACCTAAATAGGATTCTGAATCCAAATTTTATAAACTCTTCTCAAAAATGCAGGAAATAAATAGAAAATATTCATCATGTATCAGATCATGCAAAAGTCAGAATCTATCCCAAAGCAGCTAATCTGTTTAATTGACCCTCCCTGCCTCTTCATTATACCTCGCCACCAAAAAATCATTATCTTTGACCACGTAAAGCATAGACCATCTGAAAAAATCAGAAAAAACTTTTCTGACACTGTTATAAAATGAAGCATAAAATAAAATAATTTGATTCACGATAAAGAAGCCTATTTTTGAGTAACTGTTGTTGCGGAATTGAGAAATTATTTATTGTGTCGATGTGTGTGTGTGCTTTTAAAAATTGGGATTAAAATTACATGAGAAAGCTTTATGTTCTGATTTATTTTTTACCAAATATTATTCCAGGATATTCTCACATGGCTGTCTTGTCTTTAACCCAGGCACTAATCCCGGTCATTAAGTTTCCTATTTATCCTCCAGCCAAGAAAACCTAAGATCTCTAAATAACAACTTTTGTCAATAGACACCTGGGAAAGAATTTTAAAACTTGATATAATTAAAATGCATTTCTCTTTGCTCATACCCCAGTTGAGGTAGAATTAAAGATGTCTATTTTCAAGATAGATAATAATTCAATTCTTACTTTTTTGAATATGGTTGCTATAGCTCTTCTCCTCCCAGACAATCCCAAAGTCAATTCTCCACTGGGATGATGAGGCTACCAACTAGGTACCCAGATCTTTCTCTAAAGAAATTCCCAGAGATCTCACCTTAATGGTTACCTCCTCCACAACAGTCTTCAGAAATGCTGGAATCACTGCTTTGTTTAGGTGAAAAGATAGGTCCTTAAAGCTTTGCAAAGATTGCAGAATGCTATAATCTCATGAAGAGTTGAGAAATGAAGTGTTTTGAAAGATAAACAAGGAACAATGACATTGGTTAGAGTCACTCTCAAAAACCTGGTTGTTGATGGCCTTATCACACTGTGTCAACTCCTAAGGAGAAAGAAGTTATGTAATTAGGAAACAATTTTGAGGTTACACCTCATTTTTTTAGCTTTCAGTTTCAGTTGTCAGAGAAACTGGACAGTTCCTGTCTGTAAATAGTAATCTTAGCCACAAAGAAAAACAGTTGCAAAGAATAGTGTTTCTTCTTTGCTTTTTTGACTTACAAATATCAGTGGCTCAAAGGAGTTTCAATATTAGAACTTTCTTGTCGAGCTCAGTTAAACATGGGGGTCATTAGAAACCTGTTGCTCCTTGAACAAGCCTCTATTATACATCAGATGAGGAAGATGAGACCTCAAGACTTCTCTCTCCTTTCCTGTGCACAGAGTGGCAGTGGTGGGAGCAGACTTTGGTAGAGGTGTCCATAGCTACCAGAACTTGATTTCATTTCTTGGATGGGGGCTGGTCTGCTACAAAATTGTTTTTGTTTAAATAATACCTGAAGAATCTACTCAATTAATAAGAGACACACCTAGAGCTTGATAGAGGCAGAAAGTCATTATGAATATATAAATCCTTACCCAAATAATTCAAATGAATTGGGCACTAGCTGCCATCTTGGGCATAAGTAGGCTGGCTTATCTTGATGAGTAAATTCATAAGTACTCAACGCTTTCTGCATTATTCATTGAGACTTTAAAAATTTTGGAAGAACACTGAACCTCTGAAAGGGGCAGGGGGCCTGATAAACCCTGTGTACTGCGATGTTTTCCCTATGATCATCAGTGGATGCACTGTATGATGCATCACTATGCATCAGTGGATGCATAACCCTGAGGTGTCAGGTAAGTGGCAACCTGCAGAAGATGTGGTGAGCCACCAGCTGATCTGCAAGCAGGGTGTGGCCAGGACTAGAAAATTGATCCCAAAAGACAGCTAATAGCATCAAATGACCCGAGGCCATCTGCAGAGAAAAGGAAAGCTGATTGTCTTAATCCAAACCAACAGCATTCAGAGAGTTGAAGTTTGGATTTGGAAACTGAATAACCCCACCAAAGCAGGACTAAATCAGAAAAAAACAACTGGGATCTGGAGTGACAGCCATGAACATCTGAGGGTGTTCATTTTCCTTTTACCCACTTTAGTTTCCTGCTTATGCTGATTCACTGAGCAGATCTTAAGGCAAAGGGTAAAGGTGAACACAAGGAAAGTTTATAGGGAGCCATAATTCAGTGTCTGGGGACTAGAGAAGCTCATGGCAGAAATGACAATGATTCAGGACAACTCTCTGCCCTTTTTATTGGAAACTAACTTTTGTGGCGATACTCTCTGTTGGTTCTCCAGCAGACAATGTATAAATTACTGTCTCAAATAAAGACAGTTCAGAGCAATGCTTCCATCTCCAAATGTGAAGTTGGAATTTTCACAGATGGACTAAAGTAATGCCCAGTATTGTGTCATTTTACTGACATGTAGGCAGTGGCTAAATAATTAGTGACTTGGGCCACCACTTGGAAAGCTCACAGATAGAAAATATGAGAACTTCCCACTTGCAAGACGTCTAGGTAAACCATCTGTGGCCTCTTCTCATTACAAGTTGTGATCCTCAAGGTCATTCAAAATCTTCATGGAAGAATGCTTACAAGGGTGATATCCTAATACATCAGTCTATTGATTCCAAAAGTCTTCTAAGGAGAAGAATAGGAGCAAGTGGAAGAGCACACATGTACTTTGAAATTCATATTAGTCCCGGGGATAAGGCATAGATGTTAAGTGCTGTAGTTTCAGAAAAGCAAATAGAAGAGGAGGGTGTTTTTAAATACTCAGATTAAAAACTTTCTCCACTTCCTTATCAATAAGAGCCAGAACATCCCCTTTCATCCTCTTCTGAGAGTGTGGGAGCCTGAGCTGGCCAGTCTCCTTACGCATTCATCTAGTCATCAGCCACCTGAACAATTGCTTCCTCCTTTTCCTTCTCAAGATAAATCGGTTTTTTGTTCACACATAGTTGTTAATCTGGGAGTATTACCAAAACTATGATTCATTGAAGTTATGTTTTTGTACTCAACTAAATCCTGTACTATTTTAAAATTCTGTTTTTATTTCTTATTTTCGATCAGGTTACTCACTTCTGTAAAGGCTTTCAAAGATTCCTATTTCCTAAAATAAAATCTCTGTATTAGTTTCCTATTGCTGCTGTCAAAAATTACCACCAATTTAGCATCTTAAAAAAAGAGAAACCCATGGTCTCAGAGTTCTGGAGGCCAGAAGTCCAAAATCAACATCACTGTATATTAACCATGTTTCCAGCTTTTGTAAACTGGATGCTTTAACATCCGCCTACATGCATAGACAGCCACGTCTTGTACAGCACAACCTGATGGTCTGCCTGTGTCACCCCCTTTGGCCTCTTGCCTCCCTGATTGCCTCCACTTCTTCCTCTGTAGAAATCCTCCTCCAAGGGGTACAATTATCAAAAGCAAGCTAACCAATCCATGGTCCCTACATCTAACCACTTCTTTATCGGACTCTTACACACTTGGTCTCTGTACTTCTGCCCTGATCTCCCTAGACAACAGGGAGCGGCTCCTATGACCCAGAGCCCACCGAAATTATCAAACTAGCCAACCATAAGCTCGTTTACTCTGCGTCACACTTTCCTTCACGCAGGAATTGCAATAAATGCTCTTAGCAAGGCATGCTCACTTTGGGAGCTGTAAGTGGGAATCCATTCCTTGCCTCTTGTATCTTCTGGTGACTATTGGCATTCCCTGACTTATGGGCACATCACTCCAATGTTCAGCACTAGAACCTCAGATTGCTGCTTGCTCTGTCATCACATCACCTTCTCCTCTGGCTTGTGCCAGATCTCTTCTTGTTTCCCTTTTATAAGGACACGTGATGGCATGTAGAGCCCACCCAAATAACCCAGGATAATCTCTCTCTCTTGAGATTTTTACATTAATTACATCTGCAAAGATCCTTCTTTCAAGTGAGATAGCATTCACAGGTTTCAGGGATCAGCACGCGAGCATATTTTTAGCAGTCGTATCAACCTACCACGGAGCCCATTTCTAAGCTTCAGAGAGACAATCTTCCGTGCTTTGAACCATGTCCACGCTTTCAGCTTTACCTCTTACTGCTTATTCTCTCCATGTATTCCACATTTCTTTTTCATGGAAGACATCTTGCTATTCTCAGTTTAAGCTACAGTTACACGAACAAGACAAGGCATATGACCATAGGGACAGAGATTAGGGTGATGTGATCACAAGCCAATGAGTGCTGGCATCTTTCTTTCAAAGTTTCCATCCTGCACTTATTTTAACATCTACTCATAAAAAAGAATGTGTTAGGCTGGGCGCGGTGGCTCAAGCCTGTAATCCTAGCACTCTGGGAGGCCGAGGAGGGCGGATTGCTCGAGGTCGGGAGTTTGAAACCAGCCTGAGAGAGACCCCGTCTCTACTAAAAATAGAAAGAAATTAATTGACCAACTAAAAATATATATAGAAAAAATTAGCCGGGCATGGTGGTGCATGCCTGTAGTCCCAGCTACTTGGGAGGCTGAGGCAGGAGGATCGTTTGAGCCCAGGAGATTGAGGTTGCTATGAGCTAGACTGATGCCACGGCACTCACTCTAGCCAGGGCAACAAAAGTGAGACTCTGTCTCAATAAAAAAAAAAAAAAATGTGTTAATAGAGGAGCTTTTCCTCAACTTGACACAGAATCCCTACAAAAAACCTACAGCTAACATCATACCTAATGATGAGAAACTCAAAGTTCTTTTATTAAGATTAGGACAATGTAAGGGTGCACCCTCTCATCGCTACATTTCACCATCATACTGAAAGTCCTACCTAATGCAATAAGACAATAAAGGAAAAGGATACCAAGCACCAAAATTGAAGTAGCAATAAAAATATCTTGGAACAAAAATGTCCCAGACTAGATGGTTTCACAGCTGAATTTTACCAAACCCACAAAGAAGAACAGGTACCTATACTATAGAAAAGATTCCATAATAATGTGAAGGATGAATCCTCCCCAATTCATTTTACAAAGCCAATATCACCTTGATACCACCTTGGTATCACTTTGGTTACACCAAGGTGTAACCAAAGGACGTAACAAAAAACGAAAACTACAGACCAATATCCTTTATGAATATAGATTGAAAAATCTCAGTAAAATCTTAGCAAACTGAATTCAACAGCATATTAAAAAAATAATTCACCATGACCAAGTGGGCATCATGACAGAGATGCTAGGATGGTTCAACATACGCAAATTTATAAATGTAATTCACCATGTAAATAAAAGCAAAAGCAAAGACCATATGATCCTCTCAATAGATATAGAAAAAGCACTTGGCAAAATTCAGCTCCCTTTTATGATAAGAACTGTTAACAAAATAGGCATAGATGGGACATAGTTTAAATTTATTAAAGCTATATATGACAAAATCACAGCCAACATCATACCGAATGGGGAAAAATTGAAAGCATTCCTTGCTTAGAACTAAAACCAGCCAAGTTTGTCCACTATCACCACTTCTATACAACATAGTGGTAATATTAGTAAAAAAGTATATGTTATGAGAAACAGTAATGAACAGATGAATAATTATTTTAAAATAATTTTATAAGTGATTCCTAAAAATTTTAAGATATATTTATGTGTAATATTATTGAACATTAGCTATTCCCCAAACCTCATACTAGGGAAAATATAGGATGCATAAAACATACTCTCTTTACTTAGGATGCTTAATTGGAGTGGGACAGTCAGACTCCAAAATATGTTCAATAAACACATTTAATAAATAAATAACAGATTCATGATGTTTTCCTCATACTATTGTGGTTATACTTTATATAACCTTTTCTAACATTTGGATCACATTTTTCTCTTGGAAAATAATATTACACATAAGTATATCCAAAAATTTTTAAGAATCACTTA